ATTCAAGTGGAGTTGAACAAAAATTAATTTTGCCTTAACATTTTTCTAGGAATTAAATCTCTTGAGATACTTGGAAACACCCTAGAGTTCTACCCACAGAATAGAGAAGTTGCAGGCATCAGTGCCCTGAAAAAGAGTTAACCAGATGACAGAAGGCTCATTCTGACCTGGCTCAGTTGCTGCCAGGGCTAACGTGTCTGTGGGCAGGACAGACTCTGGGTGTTCAGTCATAAGCATTACCAGAAGGGACTCAGAGATCACCTCATTGAATCAGCTCCTTTTCCAGATAAAGAAACCAAGCACTTCCCTCTAAGAAGTGGCTCACCCAGCCTGGCACGTTGACACGGCCATATGCTTTCAGAAAAGGAACTGGATGCAGCGCCCTCACTCCCTGGAGCAGGGCTCGATTCCCTCTGCCAACTTCAGCTCTACGGGGATCTCTTGTACAATCGGTGCAAAATGCTCCACCTCTGCACACCCCTGCCTGTAAAGCATCAGAGGAGATACCTGCTCCTAGGGGAAAGGGAGCACACACAGGGTTGTCAGCACTGAGCAGCTGAGGCAGCCAGTACACCGGTGACTTGCACCTGCCTAATTCCACTAACCAAGACCTTTGAGTAGACGACACCTCAGAATAAGTCTGGAATCATTAGGACAGCTGGTGTGGTTTGCAAACTCAGGAAAAAATGAGAAGGGGATAACCTGCAGATCCTCTGGTTTCTGGGAGCCTTTCCCAAAGTTCTTTATCTTCCTCCTTCACGTTGTTTCAATGCCCCTACCTCACAGGGCTGTTAAGAGGATACGGTGACACTGCCCACACTGGGCAGATTTCATGCGCTGGGAGAAGGCTGCAGACCCCACTGTCAGAAGCTGGAAGTGAAAAGCCTGTGAGTCAGAGCCATGCTGACAAGAATGGCACGGAAAGGAACAGAGCTTGGGAACTCAACAAGGGAGAAATCGTTTTATTTATTTATTTTTAATTTATCTTTATTGTTGAAAGTATTACAAGTATCCCATTTTCCCCCCCAATTGACCCCCTCCACCTCGCTCCCACCCCCTCCCCAGGCCTTCACCCCATTATTGGCTATGTACCTGGGTTATGCATGTATGCATATAACTAACTTCTTTGGTTAATCTCTTCCCACCCTCCACCCCCCTGCCCTCTTTCCTCTGAAATATGACCATCTGTGGTATGCTTCAATGTCTCGATCTATTTAGTCAGATTCTTTTCCCATTACCTTCTTCTTAAAGACCCTTCAACATTTCCTGTAGTGCTGGTCTGCTGGCGGTGAACTTCTTTAGCTTTTTCTTATCTGTGAAGCTCTTCATCTGACTTTCAGTTCTAAATGATAGCTTTGCTGGGTACAGTAATCTTGGTTGTAGATTCTTGCTTTTCATCACTTTGAATATTTCTTACCACCCCCTTCTGGCCTGCAAGGTTTCCGTTGAGAAATCAGCTGACAGTTGTATGGGGGCTCCCTTGTAGGTAACTAATTGCTTTTCTCTTGTTGCTTTTAAGATTCTCTCTTTGTCTTTAACCTTTGGCATTTTAATTATGATGTGTCTTGCTGTAGGCCTCTTTGGGTTCCTCTTGTTTGGGACTCTCTGTGCTTCCTAGACTTGTAAGTCTATTTCTTTCCCCAGGTAGGGGAAGTTTTCTGTCATTTTTTCAAATAGGTTTTCAATTTCTTGCTCTCTTTCTTCTATTTCTGGCACCCCCATAATACAAATGTTGGGCCACTTGAAGTTGTCCCAGAGACTCCTTACTATATCTTCATATTTCAGGATTCTTTTTTCTTTTTGCTCTTCTGGTTGGGTGTTGTTTCCTCATGTTCCAAATTGCTGATTTGATTCTCAGCATCCTCTACTCTCCTGTTGATTCCCTGTAAATTATTCTCCACTTCAGTCTGTATAGCCTTCATTTCTGATTGGTACTTTATTATGTCATCGATGGTCTCACTTGTTTTCGTAATAGTCTTACTATCTTTGAGCATCCTTATAATCATAATTCTGAACTCTGTATTTAGAATCTTGCTTGGTTTTATTTCATTTAGTTCCTTTTCTGGACATTTCTTCTGTTCTTTCCTTTGTGACATGTTTCTTTGCCTCCACATTTTGGATGCTTCCAGGTGTTTGTTTCTATGCATTAGGTAGAGCTGCTATGTCTCCTGGAATTTGTAGAGTGGCTTTGTGTAGTAGGTGTCCTCCAGGGTCCAGTGGCTCAGCCTCCCCCGTCACCTGAACTGGGCCTTCTAGGTGCTCCCCTGTGTGGGCTGTGTGCTCTGACTTATTGTAGCTGAACCTTGTTTGCTGTTGGGGTCACTGGGAGGAAATGACCCCCAAGCCAACAGGCTGTGAGGACGAGCTGTAACTACAACCAAAGAGCTGCTGTGCTGGAGACACCCCTTTGGAGCAGGATTTACTTCGGTGGAGCTTTGGTGTTCACCGAGTGCGCCCCTTAAGTGTGTCACTCATGGATATGGTAGGGTTGTAATCCAGCATGGTCGAGTCTGACCACCAGGTATACTGTCTCTGGGGCCTCCCGGTAGATGCAATGTCAGCCTCTGCCAGTGCCTTGCCCAGGGCCATCCAGCATGAGTTACACAGCAAACCATAGTTGGCTGCTACTTGTGCTGGGCTTGGAGGTGTCCGGGAGAGGCCAAGCTACGAGCCAATGCTGGCTGCCGCTAGTGCTAGGCCTGGGGCCACTTATCAAGCCATTAGGGGCAAGCTGCTGCTTGTTTGACAGATTTTAGTAAAGTCCTGAGCATGAGGTTTGAGAGGCCACTTGCACAGAAAAGCCACTGGAAATGGACAAATGAGCTTGCAAGTGGGAGGTGCGGGGCCAAAGGTGTGAGTCTGGTGCTGGCGATTCAAATGTGGCGCCTGCCTGCTGGCTCTGTACAGGGAGGACTCGCCAAAGGAGCAATGGCCTCTGCCAGCTCTTCTGCCTGGGAAGAAGCTTCCCCTCTACCTCTCACCTGGATTTCTGGCAGGTTAGTTCCTCCCCAAGTTTCCCAGGTCCTTTCTGAGCTGGGGCTCAGAGGGAGCGCGCCTGAGTGAGTCCATGCGCGGGCCCTTTAAGAGGAAAGCCTGGACCTCCCGCAGCCTCCGAGATCCTCAGCGATAGTCCCCGCTGGTTTCACAGCCTGAAGTTGTGGGGACTTTTCTTCTCAGGCCTACAGCCCTGGGCTGGGGGGCCTGATGTGGGCCTGGGCCCCCTCACTCCTCCGGGAAACCTCCACCACCGAGATGTCCTCCCAGGTTTCAACCGTGGCACCAGGTGCGGGCCTGCAGCCGCGTCTCTGGTATTCAGCCCTGATCTGCCCGCGTCTCCGCCCCTCCTACCGGTCTCGGTGCTTCTTCAGTTCCCTGGTTGTAGGGCTTCTGTTCAGCCAAATTTCAGGAGGTTCTATATTTTAGTTGTAATTTTTATGTGCTTGCAGGAGTCGGCAGGTGCAGCTCCTACCTACCCAGCCATCTGGAGAGAAACCGTCTTAAATGGTTTTAATCAAAGGATCACTTTTTTAAAAAAAAACACTGATAAAATGAATCACTTTGTTTTAGTGAAACTCCTAATTGGGTATAATAATGAAAATATCGGGGAGTAGTTCCATGCCAGGGGGCACTTAGCCACCTGCTCAGTTATGTCTCACAGGCACCCACAAGGCAGCAATTATCCCATTTTACAGATGAAATAACAAGCAGCACAAACTTAACTGAAACTATTTGGTAAGAGAAGAGACTCAATTCCAGATACTAACCAAACTGTCTTTTTGGAAAACTATCTGTTCGTATTGACACTTCCTTTGTCCAGGACAGTTAAGGAATAAGGTGGTATAATTTTTCAAGATACAACTTATTTCTCTAAGCCCCACAAATCATTTTAACTTTCAGACATAAACCTAAATGTAGTCTTCTCTTTTGGATGCAGCATGTTTTTCCCTGATGACCTGAGCCACCAGTGCAATTGCAGCACCGTATAACAATGGTGGCGCCCTCCACAGCCACCGGGGTCCCTTGGGGCCACCAGCCTGTGGGTGAGCCCAGCCTGAGCTGCCTCTTTCAGGTTCCAGCAGCAGAAATCTGGAGCTCTTGACAATGAGTAAGTGCCTATTCTTTAAGTGCTTAGCAACTTCTTTTGTGTTTTTCTAAATTGCAAAATAATACACACAAATTTTTAAAAACTCAAATTTGGAGAATTGAGTCCCTAAGAGTAACTTATTTTAATATAATTAATATCTATTGTGGCTGCTGGAAACAGTATTCTACTCTCTACTCTTTTGTTAGCTTGCCAAGAGCTGAACTGTCAGCAAGGTAAACTTGGTATTATAGGTATTTCCAAAATGCTGGGTGCACCTAGTTCCTCTTCCACTCTGTTCCTGTTTCCTCAAAAGTAAAGGATAGAGAGCAAGAGTCCTATTGACACAATGTTTGGCCTTTCTGGAACAGACTATTTGAGGAGACCCCTGAAAAACTCTAGCTTTCATTTATACCAATAGCTTCCACTCCCCTCCTGATTCTCTCATGGCCCCTCAACTCCTATAGCTCTTTATTTTGTATGCCTTCATTTGGCATGAGTATAACTATGCTTCCCATTTTTAGAATGCTGACACATTAGACATACACATTCTCAGCCTGTAGGCCTCAAGAGCATGAAACCCTACTTCTGCACCCACTGTTGCACCCAGCACATCACACTCATTGCCAGAGCTCAATGTCAAACTCCTTCTGATACTACTGCCCTCTACCCTTTGGAACTGTGCTCTCTAGATCACTCCCACTAGGCCTGGGCTTTCACATCTGTGAAAATAAATCACAAAAATGAAACAACTCCCCAGCAGTTTTGTCTTCCCTTCAGAAAAATCTTGCTTCATGGCTTCAGGGTGAGGGGATCCTCCCAGCACAAAGGAAGAGGAAGTCCCTCAGCAATCTCACAGCTGAGAACCAGCAAAACATCTTTTCTGAGCAGATTCCAATCCATGTGACACAGGCCCCCATAAAGTCACACATTTTATTTTTTTATTTAAGTAACCCTAAATGTTCTTCAGAAGCTATTCAAACCATACAATAGAAGTACTGCCCTGGCCCCTCTACAACTTCTGTGCAAACAGACATAAATTCCAAGGGCTGGACATCCAGGTATAAGTGGTTTCACAAGAATCCTATAAAAGTATCTCTTTATGAGTAAAACCCATGATTTTGAAGTATGTGATATATCAGGTATTGTTTCTCCATGAAGGGGATTTGATTCAGGCTCAGAAAAGCCAGGTAGAGGCTCAATTCTCCGCTTGGACTTTCACTCACTGGCCTCCTGTGGCCACTTAGCTATTTGAAATCAGCAGGATTTGGTTTGCACAATTTTAATTAATAAATGCTGGTGTTACAGAGGAAGAAAACTGCCTAAAGACCTAACCCCAAAGAGTGCACAGCAGCCTGCTGCCACCTTGTGGTGGCTTGGTGCAAATGCGAAAGCAGCAAAACTTATAGGGCAGAGCTTTCAAGGAAAACAAAAATTAAATCTGTCTATAGTAGCCCAAGTATTAAGGCCATTTGCATAGTATAAAAAATTTAAGTTTATTCAACATCTTGGATATTTAGGGCAAAGGTTCCTATTAGTCTTAACTGGTGCTTCTTCAAAGAAAGTGTCCTTGGCATTCATGACTTGCTTCCAGAGCTTCTCTCCACCAGTGTAAAACCCAAAGCCTGCTCTAGACCAAAGTGCTCATGAGGAAATAAAGCCAAACAACAGAAAAGATAAACAAAAACCAGCTGTGCCCCCAAAATACTCAGAAGTCATATGCTATTTACAGCAAACAATGGTTTGGTTTGTCTTGGGATAGAAATGGGGAGTCTGATCCAGTCTTTTGCAACGAGAGGCAACAGTCTTGGTCCTGTCCCACCTGACTCTCGCTTTACCTCATGGCAGCTTTCTTTCCCAAAGCTCCCACCAAGTTCTGATTCAGCTTCAGCATGTGTCCCTCAACTTCGGTCCAATTAAACACTGTTATTCAGGGAATAAGGGCAGAGACCAAGATGGGGGTGAAAGTGGGGGTGGGATGGGAGCTTTCTTGGCGGAGCCCCAAAGTTCAGACACAAGACCTCCTCAGATGAGGAAGATGATGCCCTCAGACACCATGACCTGGTTGTCGTGCTGCATCTTGCACAGTGCCGCCTGGATCTCCTCTGGAGAGAAGGGCTCTTCTTTGTCCTGGTTGATGGATTCAGTGAGGCGATTCATGCCCACAGACTGGGCATGAGCTTCCCGGAACACCTCCAAGAGGGCCACCTTGAATGCCTTCAACCTGCCCAAGACAGGAGGAAATGGGTGAAGGAGGAGTAAATAAACCCAAGTGCTTTCAGGCAAGATCTATGTTGGGAAAACCTAAAGTGTTAAAACAGGATAGTCGTCCCCGCGCGCGTACATGTTCACACACACGCACACACGCGCGCGCCTGATGGCTGCTCTGTGCCTGAGTTTCCCCCTTCAAAGCTAAACTGTTGTACTATAGAGCTTCCTGAAACCTTCAGTTTGATCACATTGAGAAATAACAGCATTTTAAAATAAGAGGCCTTTGAGGGTGGGAGACTGGATTTCCCATACACTGTTGGTAGAAATGTGAACTGGGATGGCATCTTTGGGAGGCAATTTAGCAACATATACTAAAATTTTAAAGTACATATCCTTTGACTCAGGGAGTCCACTTCTAGCAATTAACCTTACAGCTAGCTACACTTGCATAAGTGACAGATAAATGAGAATGTTTTACTGCAAACAGCAGATTTATGGAACCTATACGTCCATTATTAGAAAACACAAATAACATTTTACACATCCATACTATGGAAACCATGCAGTTATTGAAAAGAGACCTGTATGAGCTGATTTAGGAGCTTTCAAATACAGTTCCATAGTTATCTCTGGGGAGTGGAATTACAGTTGATTTTAATGTCTTTTTTCCTAAATACTTTACAGTGTTTTCAAATTTCTTCAGTTAAACATATTGTGTTTTGTGTGTGTTTAAGTTATTAAAAGAAAAAAGCAAACCTTACCCATGGAGTTTCTTTGGTGTCCAATAACAAAATTTATAGATAAAACTATTTCTAAAACTCTAGTGCTAAAACCCTTCAACTCAAAACAAATGACAATTCAGTAAGGAAAAAATATAAATAAGTATTTATGTATTTATTTTTTATATAAATTATATACTCTTTCTATTTAATATATATTTATTATACTTAATTTATATTTAATTATAATAATCTATATTTAATATACTAAATCTATATATTTAATATATTTATATTTAAGTAGTTTATGTAACTATGTATTTTATATTTGTAAATATATACATATATTTATATATAAATGTATATTTATATTTGTTTCTTCCTCACTGAATTGTCATTTGTTTTGAGGTGAAGAATTTATACCACTAGAGTTTCAGGAAGTTGTATCTATAAATTATGTATATAAATATGTATTTTTGTATTTATATATAAATGTACCTATATCTATATCTGCATATATCTCCTACTGAGAAGAACTGAAGGTTCAAAGACACGAACTCTGTCCTTGCTCTGAGACTCTTCCTACTGACCTCACTGGGACTTCAGATTTAAAATTCCCACAAAGAGAATTATTTAGAAAATAAATGGTAAAGTGTAAACATCTAGGAATTCTTTGTAAAGGTATACAACAGTTCTTTACAAACTTTTTGCAAATTTTTAAAGTTTGAAACTATAACCAGAACATAAAATGTTTTTAGAAACCTCTGGGCCTGTGGTTTTGACCTCCATTGATAAGCAGCTTGTTTCATGCCCTCTCCCCCAGAAGTCTTTGCCTCTGTGGAACACGTGGAATCACTTCCCTACTCACCTGGATTCACTCAACTCCACCTCCTGGGATTCCTTGGCCTCCTCTGAGTCCGCTGTCTTTGGAGTTTGCACTTTAGAGGATAAATGGTTGCAGAGGGTGAAAGGGCAACAAGGGGAAGCCATTTGCACACACACACCAGAGAAGTGATCTCTGCTCCCCACCCCTCACTGAGCCTGCTGAACACTTTCCTAGCATTCTGCACCCAGGCAGGACAATTAATATAAAGGGAACTCTCCACTGAATGAACAATATAAGAACTGTGTCAGGCAGGAGACCCTCAATACACAGTGTCTGGGATGCTTACACCAGGTTGGCAAAGAGCACAGTTCATCAAGGAGGGAAACAACTGAGCAGAGCTTCTTTTCCAGTTTTACTGAGTTTCTGAGGCTCTCTTGGGACAAACCTCTTGGACACAGGGTCCCAAGCAGAACCAAATGGAAGCCCCCATAAAATGCAGTGCACAGAGCAACTAAAAACGTCATCAGTAGGGGATGCTCTCTTACCTTGAGGCATTTCCTTCTCTGTGTCACTGAAGTCATAGGGGTCATATGAGTCCCCATCCCCAGCATCTGAGCGATGTCGAGTCTTCCTCCTAAAATCCCCACAGCAGTTAAGAAAAGCTTTAGGGAACCCTACCTTGTGCCTCTGACCATGGAGGAAAGGAACGAGAACCTTCTAAAGTGGAACACTAGACCCGGGGCTATATAAACTGTTAGCTTTTCCTGCTTCCCAATGCTTTTTCCCTATCATCCACCCTCACAAAGTCGACCACGGGTCCGAGAGGAATAAATAATCTTATGAAAACAATTCTGAAACGTATATTCAAAAACCTCTAAAGGAGTTACTGGTCCTTCTACTCAGCACTTATTTAGCAAGAAAGAGAACAAAAGCATCACGCCAAAGGCAGAGAGGGCTCGCTCACTGTCTCCTTTGCCCGTTACCTTCACCCTCAAACCCCGCAGGTTCAGGCACCCTTTCCCTGAAGAACCTGGTGCATACCAACTTGATCCACCTGCCCCCCCAGCCTTAAGTGAAGTCTTTTTCTTTCATTTCTCTTTGCCCCACCTTACCTCTTCCTCTTCTGTTCTTGGTCCTCCTGGCTTCTCTCCTCTTCATCTTCTGTCTCTGATTCATCCTCATTTTGCTTCTTACGTTTCTTCTCCTTCTCCAGAACCTACAACCAAGCCAAGTACGTATGGGTGGGTGGAGGGGTCGCTGATGCCAGGGAACTGAATAAAGAACTCTGAATGAGTCCCTTCTGCAACATCAGCAGAAATTACACCCATGGGTCTAAGGACTCACCTGGCCTCTCTTGTCCCCAAGTCCCAGGACTAAGACCAGGGGATAGGCTGCTGCCCATCTTTAGAAATGCTAAGTGGTGTGTTCAATGCCTTTCACATAGTAGGTATTCAACAACTGCTTACTGAATAAAGAAATGAATGAAAAAAAAGTCCAGCTCATAATGGTTAAGTGGGAAACAATGCATTTCTTTCTAAATCAGGTGTCTGATTTAAATTTAAGATGACCCCATTCTAGCAAGCCAAACAGTGAAGAAATGCTTATCAGACCCACCACTAAACCCCAAAGAGCTACAATTCAGACTGAGGGATAGGGGTTGAAGAATGGGGGCAATGAGAAAAAGGGATTCAAGGCTTCAGGGCTTGGTGTCTAAAATGACAGAGCTACAATGTCACAAGCAGAAATATGACGAGAAGCAAGTCTGAGAGTTCAACTTGTGACATGAGTTTTTCAGGTACTAATGGGACAACTGAAGAGGTGCCAGGGGAAAGGTACAGAAGGAAGAGGAAGATTATCAAGGTCAGTCCTTTGGAAACATCTTTTTAAGAGACAAAGGAAGCAGAGAAGGTAGAGCACATCAATACCAGAATCCCTCCGGACTCTAGTATCAGTATTTTAAAGCTCTCCAGCTGCCTCTCACACGCAGCCAGGATTGGGAACCACTGATGCTGCAGGTCCCAGAGAAAGGGGAGAGGCCAACTGAACACCGGCAGACAGATGCTGCTTCCTGCTGATGACCCAAACACAGGTGACGGCCAGAGGAGGCTGTGAAGCCCCAGCACCAAGAGTTTATTCAGAAGAACCTCTCACCAAGCACCCAATCCTCACCTTTTTGAAGTAAGCATACTGGACCAACTCCACGGCTTCCTCTGCATCCTGCAGGTCCACAGTCTTGCTCATGCGGGCCTTGGCATGGGCTGTGGCCAATCGAATCAGGGTTTCCAGAGTCCGAGCTGTAACGGGAGAGGTCTGGGGAAGAAAACAAAAGAGTATTACTTATCCAGAATTACATATTCTTTAGGCATGCCCAGCAATCCCATTGCACCGGTAAGGAGAAACTGACACTACCAGATAAGCCCTAGGCGGTCCCAGCAAAGGATTCAGAGCTCTGTGTTCTATTCTCTACAACTACCACATGAAATCCAGGAAGATGAAAATTATCAGGAAGTATGTGTGAAAGGGTGCTGAGGGAGCGAGAAGGAGGACAGGAAAGAGGAAAATCGGGCATCTTGCGGCTGGAAGGATAACAAAGCCTAGGAAGGGCACAAAAGTGAAGGGAAAAAGACAGTCCCTACTGCAGGCACACAATGCACCAGGAACCTTTCTTTTATGTTCCTGTGTCATTTAACGCTCTTTATTTCTTGGAAAAGTTTTACAGATGAGAAAAATGGAACTCAAGTAACTTGTCCAAGGTCACGTTGAGGAGGGGTGTGAAAGAGAGCACATTTTTGAACTCATTAAGTCCAGAGGAGGACCAGAACTCTGCCAAATTCTTATTGAACGGTTCTCACAGGGGAGGGTGCACAACTGGGATGCCTTTACCTTTTTTTAACTGTTATTGTCTGAAAAGGACCCCTGGTCAAAGGAATCAGAAGGCCTGTGCTTAGGACAGGACATGGGTACTTTTTTTAAGATCCAGGTGATTCTGATGTGCCCTTCTAGTTAAGCATCCAACATTACCCAACTTTCTCATTATTTTATGAATAAGGAAACTGTGATCTAAGTGGTGAAAGGATTTGTGCAAGGTCCAAAAATTAGCTGAAAACCTGGGACCAGAACATTATATGATGCATCACTCAGGTATGTAGTCACTTCTACTTTCAAGTCTTCAAAATTATCATTTAAACCCAATCTGACATTCAAAAACAAGTATATTCACATTTATGTAAGTTAACCAAATCTTTCAATGATTTAGAAAGCTACCACAGTTTACAGATTATACACTCCATTACAAGCTCTAATTGGGATATTATGTGCAGTGAGAGGACCTTTGACACACTGGAATGTATTTACATGATGGGAGAAACTTAAAAAGAAAGGGGGCTATTTAACTGAAGAAGACAAGTCATACAAAATCTCCAGAAAACAAAGTTGAGACCCAAGGGTAGACATCACGGGGAAGCAGGTTTAAGTTCAATAAATAGAAAAATATCCTAACATTTCAATGCAATGATATACTAGGCATGTTTTCCCTGGGGGTGTCAAAGAAGTCCTAGCAGGAATACTAGAAAATGTAATTCCTGTCCTGGTGAGACTGAAGTAGATGATCTGGGATCTTATCTAAATCCAAGAGTCTATGTCTGTATCACAGAATGAAGGTTTTGGACTTGGGTTTCTTTGTGAAATCCTATATGAACTAAATTGCCCCAAAAGATTAGATACATTCAATGGTATGCACAAACTGGTATGTAAGGTTTCTAGAAATAGCTTTGGAAAACCATCAGTTGCCCAACTGCAAATCATCTGTCAAAGTCTAGCTCAAATATCACACTCTGGGAATCCTTTCCTGGTATTCATACCCCTCTGGAATGTTCAAGGGAAAAGTTAATCACTTCTTCACCTGTCTCTAACAGTCTTTCACATTCAGTCGTTTTCGGGTACCACACTATGTATATATTTATAAATATATATGTATGATCTTTCTACCTACCTTTCTGCCTCCCCACCCCAGATGAGCTCTTTGAGGGCAGCTCTTATTTAACACTGCATGTAAGAAGAGAGACTAATTCCATTCCCAGAAGTTGCTCATGTTTGCTAAATACAGCACAGCTTCTGGAGGCCAATATCACCTGAACTGATCAGATACATATTATCTCTGGGGTTCTCATTCCATTTTCCTTTATAAAAAGAAAATTATTAAAATTGTGCCACAACCAGAAAGAAAAAGGTAAAGAATCACTACATTAAAATGGTTTCAGAGCTCCCAGACAGTAGGGACTCTTTCCCAGCCACATACTTAAGAGACTCCCAAGTTAGCCTTGCCCTTGGGGACTCACCCTGGCGGTGTCGGAGCTCATGCTGTCCTGACTGCGCAGGCGTGAGTACTCCTCTGCAATGTAGGCGGCTGACTCCTGTGTTAGGATGGGCTTGATAATTTTGGCCACATGGATGTATTTCTTCATGAATGCTGCATTCACCATCTTCTCCCTGGACCCACACACAGTGAACTCCATTGCCCTGCCACACCTCAGCACCTGCCGGGACAGTGGCTCTGCCTCTCCTCAGAGAAGTCAAAGTCAAGTGGCAAAGCAGACACAGCCTAGAACCCATTACCATAAATCTCATATGGAACATGTCCAAGGCCCTTTCACATATTCGTATTTAATTCTACAGGTATTACTTAGGTATTATTTGTGAGGTAAGAAGTTTAAGTATTACTTGCCTTATTTTATAAGTGAGAAAACTATGGCTCAGAGAAGCGTGAATAGACTCAAATTCAATTCTCAAATTCAATTTTCTGACTCAAAATTTTATACTCTTAAACCAACAGATCTGAAGATATTATGCTTCCTACAGCACCATGGCCAAAAATAGAGGTACAAGGTCTCACATTTCATGCTTTGAGCATCTGGTCACAAGTTTCCTTAATTCAAGTCCAGCAAAGCCTCCAGTGCTTGCTATCTACTGACCCTGCACCATGAGCTCAACACAAATAGCTGCGTGACTTGTGCAATCCTTCACATATGGGATGACATCACACCCACCACCCGTTAGGATGCCATCAAGCCTTCTATTTTAGGAGAAGATCAGAACCTAAGTTTAATCACCCATAAACATTTACCAGGCAACTGGCCAGGAAAAAGGGTGTATCTGTGGATCCAAAAGGAAAGAAAACAGGTCCACATGGTTATGACTCCAAGCATAATCTTAGCTGGCAGCGTAGATACATACACATGCCCTAATATGATATAATATTAGATATACACATGCTCTAATATGACACAAATCTCAGGTTCGCTCAAGGGACAGGTATAAGGAAGGAATGCTCACTTCTTCTTCCTGTTCCCATGCAGAAGGTTGTCATGCTTCTCATAAATCTGGGTGTCCTGCTGGTCATCCTGGTTAAAGTTGGGATCATCTGTGGCCAGCATATCCACGGCACTACCCAGAGGCATAGCTAGAAATCCCAAGATGAGAGAAAGGAGAGTAAGAAAGAGCTTAACCCAGGGGAGATTGCTTCTTCTATAGCACAGGAAGGAAGACAGACATGATTCACAAAGCAAGGACCCACAAGGAAACAGACATGTGGAGGCCACAAGTAAGGAAGGTGGAGCCACCTGGCCCACAGAAGATGCTCAAAGGTGTTCCCAGACCCAGAAATGGACAAAAGACACATCTTAGGATAACCTCCACTGAGCAAGAAGGGAAGGTGGCCAGGCAGGGAAGGGCATCTTCGACATCAACCCAGACACCCCCACTACCTGGACTGGGCCTCAGATGACGAGGTCTGTTTAGGTTCCCTTCCCTTCCTTACTCTCCTCATGGTCTCACCATCACCATCCTGTTCCCCTGGTGTCCGGTAACGGTGCATCCTAAGGACATGGTCTGAGATCTCCCGATCCTGCTCAGGGTCCATCTGATCCAGCATGATGAAAAGTAAGTCGAATCGGGAAAGCAGTGAGTCCTGCAACCCGATGTTCTCCATAGGGGTCTTGTACTGATCATACTGGGAACACAAGAAAAAAAGAAAGTGGAGGCAAAAATCAATAGAATGGACAAGGCAGCTGGATTGATTCTGGGAGTAAGAATGAAAGACTAGACCTTAGAGAAAAAAACCAAAAGCAGTGAAGCAAAATATTTTAATACTATAAAAATACTTAATTCATCTCTTCTGCCTGCAACCCTTTTCTAAATGAAGCTCAGGTGACCTGAGTGACTCCAAGCCCCACCTCCTAGCTTATGTGCCCCTATCAGGCTGTGTATGGGTATCAAAACCACACTCCTCCTCTCCAAGCTTTATTCTGCTCCTCTCATTCCCAACACAGGACCAACCCTGAAGACAAGACAAGCTGGCTAAACCAGAAGCACTTAGAAACTTTGGAGTCCCTTACTCAGAAGGTAATGAGTAAAATAAAAATGATCAATAATCTACAAATTATGTCCTAAGAATCATGGGAGTTTTCCCATGGCAGTCAAGAATCCCTATTCTTTTTTTTTTTTTTTAAACGTATCTTTATTGATTTCAGAGAGAAGAAGGGAGAGGGAGAGAGTTAAAACATCAATGATGAGAGAGCCGTCATCGATCAGCTGCCTCTTGCACACCCCCGACTGGGGATCGAGCCCACAACTGGGGCATGTGCCCTGACCAAGAATAGAACTGCAATCTCCTGGATCCTAAGTCGATGCTCAACTGCTGAGCCACGCCCACCTGGGCAAGAATCCCTATTCTTATCTTTCAAGTCAAGACCTACTAGGCTGATGCATACACACCCACATACACTTCAGAGGGCCTACCTACCTTGTGGGCAAGATTAATAATTATTCTGATCATGCTCACATTTCAGGACTTGCTATTTTCTCCCTACATTTCCCTATAATTCTTCAGAATGATGTAAATATATGTTAACATTCATCTAAAAACCTGTGGTTTCAGCCCACACTATGCGTTAGAACCAACTATGGAGCCTTTCTAAACCATGGTCACCAAAAGCCTCAACCCAGAGATATGGATTCAGAAATTCTGGGCTAGGAATCAGGCATTTGTATGTTTAAAAAACATCATCAAAACAGGTATTCCCACACCCTGTGGGATAAACTGCCAGAGCACAGCATGGGCTATGGGTTCAAATCCTGGCTTTGCCATGTTCTAGTTTGTAACTCTTAAGCAAGTTACTTAAATTTTTAGGCCTCCATTCTCTCATCTGTAAAATGAGGAAACTACCTACACTTCACAGGAGTTATTGTGAGGATGAAAGGAACTGATAAATACAAAGCATTTGTAAGTATTAGTTAGTAGTATTATTAACACAATCTTTAAAGAGGGCAATTTGGCAAGCTCTACCAAACAAAAATACATTTAACTTAATCCTGTAATTTCATTGCTAGGTATTTATCATACAGGCATATTCCCAGATGTGTAACAAAAAACACATAAAGGGATGTTTGTTGCAGCTTCATTCATAAATGCAGGGAAGAAAAAAGGGGTAACAGCAAATGCCCACCAAATGGAGACTAGTTAAACAAATTTACTATAAATCCATACAATGAATTACTAGACTGCTGTTTAAAAAAAAGGCAAAGTCCAAGCGGAATATAAGATTACATCCAAGCACACCATAGTCATACTAAAAACCAATGGCAGATTTATTCTTAACAAAGAGATAGTGCATTGGTGATACATGCTTCATTTTTGTTTCCTGACAACACTCAAGAGCTGTTAGTGGCTATCTCTTGGGACAGAAAGAAAAGAAAGGCTTTTAATTTCCATACTGTATCTCTCTGTTCTGTTTATAAATCCTCCTTTCACGTGCACATAGTAATTTCATTTTAATGTCAATACAGGTTACCTGGGTGGTAAGGCTGTAGGTCATTTTTGTGTTCTTTGTATTTCTGAAAAAGTTACTTTAAATAAATAAATTTCCAGGGGATTCTGATGAGTATGAATGGGTGAGGAACCATGACCCTAAACCAAGGACAGCAACAAGATGTTAAGCTTTCTCTAGCCTTTGGCCTGTTGTTCCCCTGGGTCACCTAGACTAAACTTGGCCCAGTTATTCAGCAAAACTAAATGAAGGTGAGGACAATGATTAAGTGCCTGATTCCACTGACCCTGCCATAGACGGGGTTGGCTGCTGCCAAAACACTGCAGCGGGCATTCAGTCGAGCATGGATGCCAGCCTTGGCGATAGTGACTCGACCCTGCTCCATCACTTCGTGGATGGCGGTGCGGTCCATGTCAGACATCTTGTCAAACTCATCGATGCAAACCACGCCTCGGTCAGCCAGGACCATGGCCCCCGCTTCCAGACGGCGTTCCCCTGGGAAGTAGAGAGGTAAACATACACGTTACAGACCAGGTTGTAGAGGACAGAGGGAGAGACTTCAATCTCCCTCCTAGGTACCTCTCCCATCCCGCAGGAGAATACAGTGAAGTCAACGCCTAGGGACTTAGACAAATTCCTGGTGGGAAATCCTTGTCCCACCTTGACCCCTAAGCAGCTGGCCTCCAGCCAACTTCCTCTATAGACTCTCCTCTCGTCACCCTTATCCTCGAGTAATCTCCCAATGAGATCTGTTCTCTTTTCACTAGTCTTCAAACCCCTTCCTCTAATTTAGAAACAGTACGATCGTCACTTTTCTTTCCCTTCCAATTTGCTTTCTCCTTAAGAACACTTCTAAATAGCTTTCTAGGAAACATTCTTTTCAATAGAGGGCAACCCAAACTTAAATAATTCACCCACTATTGAGAGATGCTCAGTCCTCTACAGTCCAGTCCAAAGATACAAGTGTATCTTCCCAACACAAGCCAGTACCTAGAGCAAGATCAAACAATTATGCTCCAGCTCACTGCTAGACATTTGCCAAGGACCCTTACACCCTTCCTTACCTGTTTCCTGGTCTGTGGTGACAGCAGCCGTGAGACCCACTCCAGAGGAGCCCCGGCCGGTGGTAGGGATAGCCCGGGGCGCAGTGCAAAGCACATACCGCAGAAGCTGAGACTTGGCAACCGACGGGTCTCCTGCAATCGGATGGGGGCAGTGGTGACTCTCTAAGAAACTCCCCACAACCCCAGCAAGTTTTGTTTTTTTAGAACAGCTCTTGGCATAACAGAAATATACAGTAATAGGTTATTAACATTATTTCCTTCACTTTCCCTTTACCATTTGTGGAAGACCATATTTTAGATATATAAACCAGGAGGCCTAGAAATAATAAAAAGATTCATTTTAGCCTTTCGCCCTTTGATGGGACTGAAATACAGGTGGGTACAGAATATACCATCTTACAGGTTAGAGTCCCACAACCACACTCCACAAGGGAAGGTCAAGGGTCTAAAGCAAATACCCAGCACCATACCTATTAGAAGAATATTGATGTCCCCACGAATGTGGCTGCCGTTTTCCAGGTCGCGTTCCACCCCTCCCAAGAGCAAGCAAAGGATTGCCTTCTTCACATAGTCATGCCCATGGATACTGGGGGCCAATGACCTGGCCAGCTGGTCAAAGATATCCTACAGGGGGAACAACCAATGGCAGGAAAAGCCTAATGAGATTCATTGGGATTTTGCGGAGTTCCACTTTACACTGTGGCCTATTCAAAATGCTTGAAGAAATACACAAATACTATTGTAAAATCGTAAAAGCTTCCTAAGACAAATCTCATTGCTCAGATCATTTTCAGAACAGATACAGAGGAAGCCTACATTCCAAAACTTGCTTAAAGGTTTAATCTTTAAGAAAAATGTGACTCCTGATCAAAACTGAAATCTGCTTATCTTTATACTTTCCATTGATATTAATCAATAAATAATCTTAATTTTAAGCCAGATAAGTGTTTCCAGGTTCAAAGCATTTTAGGTTCAATAAGAATATGTATTGTGCTTCAGTAGTAACCTTTATCACACATGCATTATATTTTGTTCAATTCTAAATGTGAACATAGTCTTTAAAAAGAAAAAAAAATCTGACAACTAAAACAAAAATAACACAATATTTTAAATTTAAGTAACATCATTAATGTCTTCAGTACAGACTCACTGGTACACTGATATTCTAACTCCTATTCTTTATTTATATTATGTTCACTTAGCAGCCCAGCAGGTAGCACAACAGAAATGTTAAAGAACAAAGAGCAAAAACAACACCCTGTTGCTTGCTGCCTGGGTCAAAACTAAAAGCTAGCACCAAATACTTCAGAGGAAAAAACCTCGACCTTCCTCGTGATCCAGTACAAAGATGGCCATGCCCGAACACAACCCGTCTAATTCCATTCCACCCTCCAATCCCTGAAGGACGGACATCGGACCTTGGAGCGGGTTTTACTGAACTTCTTGATCTTCGCTATATCCTCAGCAGAGAAGGAAGGCTGAATGTCCTTGCTCATCTGCTTCACATTGCAGGCAATCAGAACCGTCCTGAGATAAAGGGGAGAATTAAGAGAAAGCCTACCATCTTCAGTTCCTAACATCAGAGTCTTTTTAGGTTAACAATCTAGAATAGCAAATTGAAAAGGAAAAAAAAAAGTTCTGAATTAAGCAAATGATTCTCTCTTCTCCATGACCTAAACATCTGACCATGCTTCAACTCAGGAATTTATCTCCTGCTGACCCACAGGGGTTCAGGTAGAAGTGTACATGGTAAGGAGGTGAGAATTCGTGAGATACTCCCAGGTAAGCCATGAGGCTATAATCATATTAGCAGTAACTCCCACTTTTAGCATGAGATAGTATTACCAGTTTTATATGATAGAAAACAGGTATCCAACTTCCCTGGCCAGTAGAATGCTCCACCTGTCTGTTCTAACTCTTTGGAATATGGCAAACTAGAGAAAAATTATTACCAGAAATGGAAGCTGCCAGCAGCATTCCAAACACTTCATGACTGACTCTTTACCTGAAAGTCCCAGAGGTGTAGCCTCCCTTCTTTCCAGGAAGGCAACGGTAGGTCCCCACCACCTGAATTCGGTCACCAGGCTTCACTTTATCCACCAAGTCATCATCCAGAATGACATCCACAGAGCGGGGAAGCTGGCCGGCTGGGGCCTTCTCAGGCATCTCTTGGATGGTGATGGTCTGGTGGTCCTTGTAGACAGAAAGGCCATATTCTGTCTCAAGGGGATTGTTTTCCTCATCCTGGAAGAGGCACACAGAAAAGCAGAGTTATCTCAGCCCTGTTTTGGAAATACCATGCTTATTTGTGGTGGGAAACAGATATAATTGGATGACTTCATGAGATTTTAACATCCAGAAACAAAAAAGCCAAATATTTTCTCCAGCATTCCAACCTTATCTGTTCTAATGACAAACCATCCAGATGGAAGAGGCAATCTGTAGTCTGAAGGGACCACAGCTATATTAGCATCTAAATTAAGATACTTCCCCTACTAAAGCTGAGTACATGCTTTCACTATGATGCAGTATTTCCACTCCTGGGTAATACCCAACGGAAGCATTCACCTGAAGCTTTGTACTACCAAGTTCACAGCAGCACTATTCCTAATACCCAAAAGTTAGACAGTATCTGAATGCCAGCCACAGAATGGTTAAATAAATGTGGTATATTCACAAGTGAACTGTAAAACAATGAAAATGTACGAAATATACCTACACACAACATGGATAAATTTCACAAACAGAAGCCAACACAAAAGAGTATTTATTTAGATAAAATATAAAAATAGGCAAAAATAATCTCTGCTGCTGGACATCAGGATAGTCTAACAGGGCAGTGTGGGGCCTCGTGAGGGACTTCTGATTGCTGGTAAGGTTGTTTCCTCTTTTGGATGCTGATTTTACAGGTACTCATCAAGTTGTACACTCCTGTGCATGTATTAAACTTCAGTAAAAACATTTTTAAAGTTTTACTTCCTTGCCATTTGAATTTCCAAAAAACACAATGCTTATTGAATACTTACTTTGTGCAAAACACTGTGCTATTATTTCATAGAATTATTTCATGTCATCACCACAATTCAGTAAAGGAGATATTTTTCACATTTTACAACAGATTAAAAAATCTGAGGCTGGGAGAGGTTAAATATATTCCCTAATATCACACCATAAGTAGTGGAGCCAGGACTAAAGGCAGATATAACTCCAAAGCCCAAGCTCTTAAGCACCACACTAGACACACCTCCAGAGGCCAGCCTGATGTATTTTCCAGCTCAAAGAAGCTTGGCTTCAGTAATTGGTAGAAGAGTATCCTTGAGTACTTCCTAGAAAAGAAATTCTAGAAAGTAGGATTCTAGAGAGCAGGATAACTTAGAAAATGTAACTGACCTAAAAGTAAAAAGACATGGGTCCCAGTCCTTAGAATCATCACTTACTGAGACCATAAGCAAGTCACTTAACCTCTCTGAACCTCAACGTAGCATGTGGAGGTAAACTAAATGATTACAAAGTAAGCTGCACTAATAATTCTAAGATACTCATTCTTGTTTTACTTGTTTATGTGTTAAGATTCCTCTACCAATTGAAGACAAGTTCTGGGTCTTACTTATATCCATGTCCTCCACAGTGCCTAACAATTCTTTGGATACAGTAGCTCTCAATTAAAATGGTGGGACAGGTATTCTTTGAAAAAATGAGCTCAGACATCAAGAAATCAATAGTAACCATCTTCTTTTGTCTCATTAAGTAAGACTCCACATCATCCTCAATTCAGATCAACCTGCCCACTAAGAATAAAGCCATTGCTTAGGCAGACCTTCTCTTAAACCCATAGTAAAATACCCGCAAAGAGCACGTAATAACATGATAGCATAAGTATTTTCCCATTTACTTTTAGACTACAAAATTATATGTGATTACAACTTTGTTAAAAGATCAGTGTAGATGACTTTTCATTTTTTCAACCCTTCCATAATTTTCTACAGTGAATATTTATTCCTTTTTAAAAAAATAAAAACTGTGAGCTTTCTATATTAAGCTCTGGCTAGCAAGCAATCTTTCCTTTAGATTAATCCTTAGTCCTTACTTTTCACCCTATTTACTTTTAGAAGATCTCAGATATTACCCAATTACTTGCATTAAAACATATATATTTGACTACAACTTCCAAAGAGGTGCAGTCAATTCATTCCCCTCACCTTGGTGGGATAAACAGAGCTGGAGGGAAAGGCCACTAGGGTGGTGAGATCAGAATAACGTCGCTCTATGGTCTTCTTGGTAGCAGGACAGTAGTGGACACTGCGGACAACTTTCGGACGAACTAGAGAGCCTAGGAATGAAAAAACATGCATATAAAGTCATTTAACCAGACAGTGATAAAGGTGAGACCTAACCCAGGCAAGCTTATGATGATTCCAAATACTATTGTCCCAATTAGTTTAAGCAATTTCAATAATACTTGTCACTTATTCATCTTTATATCTATATACAGAACATCCCCATACCCATGTAAAAGTAAAGTACAACCAGTCCCGACTAAGAAACAGCAGGAATTCAGGGTTAGAAAGAGGAGACCGCCAAGAACCAAGACCCCTCCACTCTCAGCAGAATACATCATTCTTAGCATAGGAGCTCACTCAAGTACCCCTAATCACTGTGCACTTGGAGCTCTTCCAAGTTTCACCCAGTAATTTAAATGTTCCACCTTTCTGATACCACAAGCTACCCAGCTCTACTCCACTTCTCCTGCTTTCCCAGACCCTCTAACTATATTCCACCTCCATTCCCTCAGACCATTACTTTAACCCACTCACACTTAGTGACAATGCCCTCCACACAGACTACACAGCTGAGGAAGCTGGAGGTAAGAGTTCGGGGAGAGACGTGCTTGGAGCCAAAGCTGCCTTCCAATCCTACGTAGAACTCCTCATATTGCTTGGCGTAGGTAGCATCAATGGAGGCCACAAAATCCTTTAAGGCCCGCTGGAAGGCAACCAGCTCCTCGAAGGCATTGTTCAGGAGGCTGCATATGGGCAAGAGAAAGAATAATTAGGCAGAGAAAGCAGAACTCAAAAAAGCTGACCCTCAAAACAATGTGGACATTCTTCAATGATGAAGGCCAAGGAGCAAAAATCTAGCTCCTACTTTATCCTCCCATCCTACAAGGCTCAGGGAAATACATCAGAATTGAGGGCCAACTTTAATTCAACTTATCAAAGATGTAGAAATGATACTCAAACATGATCAGAAGAACTCTTGAGAGGAAAATGCCTACCACCTACTTTTGGAAGATAAAAAACAGGAGCAGGGCCCTGGCAGGTGTGGCTCAGTTGGTTGGAGCGTCATCCCATACACCGAAAGGTTGCAGGTTCTATTCCCAGTCAGGGCACACACCTAGGTTGTGGGTTCGATCCTGGTAGGGGTATGTATGGGAAGGCAACCAATCGATGCCTCTCTTTCACATCAGTGTTTCTCTCTCCCTCCCCCCTCTCTAAAATCAATAAGCATGTCCTCCACCGAGGATTAAAAAACAACAACATAGGAGTACGTAAGGAAATGAGGGCTTCAAGGTCAAAAATATTTCGTCCAGGTCCTCTCCTGGGAAGCCAGTTCCAATGTGGAGAAGGGAGAAGGGAGTCCTTCTCACCTAGAGCCAGGATATTCCCTTGGAAATCCTTGCCACTCACCGATTAGCCCTCTTCTCATTTTTCCTGCGCAGGTCATTCACGTTAACAATCAGCCGGTATTGGTTGTCACTGATCAGCTCCCGAACTTTGCTCTGATAAATTCCCTGGTCTTCCTGAAAAATAACCACCACCATATATGTAACAATGGCCATAGTACAAAAATGTTTTTAAAGGGGCAGCTCTCACAGCAAGATAAAAAAGTCAATCTCTGCAGCAGAGCTGAACCCCACTCTCTCCTGTTTTCACTCACTAGCCTCAGATTCCATCTACAACCCAAGGGGACAGTGTAGGGAGTAGGACTTCCTCAAGGTCCATGCTGATATTCCTATTAACAACAGCTTTTCTGTATGCAGTCATTCCTCAGCCTTTAATGGGCTCTTAATAAGTCTAAAAGGAAAATAAATACAAACCTTCTCAAAATGTAAATTAAACAGGCTTTTAATATTCATATTAAAATTAATTTTCATTTAAAAATTATATACTTAATTAAAATATTTTATTCCCTGATCACCTGTATAAAAAGAGTTCTCACATTCAGATCTAAAAGAGTTGGGAGTCTTAGCTATTTGTTTACAAATACAGCATGAGCCACCCTTAAACAGGATTAACCAACATTCTACGGCTTTCAATCTTGGGTTACATACGAAACCCCTTTAGCTGTATAACAACCACTTTGCATCTCACTTAGCATTGGGGAAAAAAAATGCTGCCAAATGAGGAAGTCTTCCTCCCAGCAGGAAGTCACTCTCTAAATCTAGGGACCCTAAACGCGGCGGATCACTACCATCCAACAGCAATGCTTCCCCCCCTCCATGCACCCCCCCAAATTGAGAGCCGGGAGTGATTTGCAAAAGGTCCAAGTGGTCTTTGCCATTTTGTCTGCACCCGAAGGAAGCCTGTCAAATTTCGCGCGACCCAGCCACGAAGTACTTATGACAAAGTCACAGGACCGCTCCCTAAGGTTCACCAATAGAAAACC